TATTTTTGTGATTTAAAAAAAAATACATATGGTTCAGAACGGATTAACCGTATTTACATTGAACCTTATGGGAAAATTTGATTTGGGTCGTGACCAATTTGGGTCGCGACCAGAGTCACGGAACAAATTAAGTTTGTGACCCGAGGTACCACTGTACTAAACTTGGCCAGTAGCAGTCACAGGGGAGTCGGATCATCCAGGCTTTTCTTCCTCCACCAATTATGCTGTAGTTGTTTAACCATTCAGAGAAGTTTGATTTTATTCCAGAGGCAGCATAGTTACTGGATTGTGGAAAAGATTTTAACTAGTCTACCATGTTTTTACCCTTGTAAAAGAACAGAAGAGGTAATCCAAAAGTTATTGCATCCATCTTCTAATCCAAGGGTGGAAAACCAGTCTCCAGTGTCAGGGAGTGAACAAATAAGAAATTAAACCAGGTAACAAGATACTACCATTCACCAAACAATTCTCAACTTGGCTGAGAAAATGCAATCTGTTTCCCCTGTCCCCCCCCATTTCAACAGGTATTTTAGTAAAGGTGGAAAATCTAAAGTCAAGGCAGAAAGAAGAAAAATAAAAACAAACATTTTAAACTTTTGTGGGCCCAGATTTACTTCTGCACATGCACTGGATTATTAAAGTTGTGCTGTCTGTTGTATCTTACATCTTCACACCCAGCTCCCAGCTGCTCCTGAATGTTATGGGAAAATTTTATGAGGTGACAACTGGCAGAGGTGAAAACTGTGAATACTTCCTCATGTAGTCTTTGCACCACTCCAGAAGTTGATCTACCCTTGTGTGAACTGAATGCCATTGTTCAGTAGTCGAGCCACTTTGCTTCTTGTTCAGCTGTTGTAAGTCTTGAATAGCTGAAAAGGCAATCTTTCCATGTGCAATGCTGAAGCTCACAGAGTTTATTTGCAGGACATTTTCTTACTTGACTCACAGTTCCCAGGCTCATCTCACCCCTCCAAAGGTTCAGCTGACATAGTATAATGCCAAAATGCTACAATTTTAACAGAGAATATGAATTCAGATAGATAATGCTTTCACAGATTTGGATTTCTCCCTCCTAGCAGTCACATTATTTTGCTTTGGAAATCACCAAAATGCACTAGAGTGTTTACAGCACAGGTGGAATGCCATTCTTGGTACTCACCTATTGGCCAGCTGGAAGGAAGTCTTGTTTGGCTCATGATGTTTTCACCATTTTGAGATAAGTGGCAGTGAGGATGATCAGAGCTTGGTTTCAAATCAGGGAGTGGAAACAGTGGTGGTATCATGTTCAAAAGTGCTCTGAGAAAGTGTGTTTGTGTACACACACACACACACTTACAAATAGCATAACTCTTATTTACTTTCATTTATTCTTTGTGATAAATGACAAATAGCTTGCATGTGCTGCCTCTTTGTACACATGCATCATACTTGATATTATCCAGAATTTGGCTCATGATGTCCTTTTTTTTTTTTTCCTTTAGTTCTGGATAGAGGTACTCTAGCTAGGAGGAAACTAGAGGAACTGCCAGAAACAAAAAAATATTTGATTGCTATTGTCTGTGAGCCTCCATACAATAATTAAATTAAAAAGTGGTGCCTGCATAGTTCTCCTGATTTGATTTCTTTTATTAGACAGATGTGCAGACAGATCTATTTATTGGTCAAGAAATGTCTTTTTTTTTTCTTTATTGAATATTGTCCAAACTCATTAAGACTAGCAAAACCTGTCATCATTTTTAGTCTAAGCAATTGCCTTAGTTTTCTTTCACTCACTGTTGCTTTTCTAGCTTGCTAAAATTCTCAGCATAACAATTTGGCTTAAGAAATTGAAATGGTGTCATTGTTACTTGTGATCTTACCTAACATGATTTCTCTTGTAATCCTGTGCATAGACCTCATTTGAAATATCTCAAACCTTCACTTCTTTCTTAAAAATAGGAATTATTTTATCAGCTTGCTACTGAGAGATCCTTTTAACAATGTTTCATCCCTAATGAAGTATCTGACTAGTTCAATACATGGTGGGACTCAGATGACCCCCCCCTTTTTTTTTTGCACTCCTTGTTGGTAGTTAGTAGGAGACATTCTTTTGCGTAAGCTTCTGGATTTGAGTCTAATAATTCTAGGGGTTAAAAAATAAAACTACCTTCCTTTTCATATTTGATCAATAGTAAGAATAAGTATTATAGTTAGCCTTATCCCAAACCTACTGTATTTCTTTCCTTTCCCATTTTCTTTTCCCATTTCTTTCCCTTTTTCCTATCCTTACTTTAGGAAATTTAGAACTAGAGTGTCAGTCCATCTCCAAGGAGCTGGGTCTGCTAATACTCTCATTTTCATGGTTGTTTTTCCTATGCTTTTTTGTTTGCTTGCATATATGCACATTTTAAGTTCTAAGTGTAAGTTAATTTTCTATGAATTACTGAGCCAAAAATACTTATTTCTACAAGAAGCAAAAACAATAGTGCGTAGGACTCTTCTATATACACTGCACTTCAATTTAAAGGTTCTTTAAACCCTTTAGACTGGTTTTCTATTATACACACATACAAGCATGAATAATTCCTATAGGTGTTCTGAATGCTAAATCCATAATTATATACTAATTATGCTATTTTCTTTTGGGATAAGCAACATGATGTAAAACACACAAAAGGAATAAAAAATAAGAAATCAAAGAAAATAAAGACATAAGAAAAAAAAACTTGTATACCTAAATATAGTTTCCACGAATATAATTCACTATATTTTTCCATATATTTCTATCGGTGAAGCTCTTTTTATCCTCACTTCTACTACATCCTTCAATCAATTGTATCCAACTATGGTTTTCTTGGTCTTCCCCTTAACTTTTCTTCATTTATTTGTTTTATGTTTTAATCCTTATTATTTCCTTTTCATGGCCAGGGCACTGTATTTCTGTAGTACTGGTCACTCACTTTGATGTGCAATCCATGAGCATTCAGCACCCATTCAGTCTTGACACTACAGTTAGACCTCACTTAGCACTACCTCAGGCAGTGACTGTTCTAAGTTACGACGGTGATGAAAAAGTAACTTTGCAACCAATGCCTGCATTCACAACCTTCGCAGCATCACTCAGTCACGTGTTCACTATTACAGTCAGTTAGTATGCATTGTCCTGTGTCTGACCTATTTTTTTTCTCCACCCCCTCACCCCCAAGGTGGAAATATTGCCTAAATACATGATCTTTTCCTGAGCTGCTTTTCTCTGCAGTGCAGCACTGGTGCAAAAGGTGTTAACTGCAAGTTAACAAGCCCAGCTCTGTGACCTTAATTAGCCAGCTTGCAGCTACTGCCAGTAACTGACAAGACTTTAATCAGTTTTACACCTTTGGCTTTTGTTTGCCTCCTAAGCAGCTTGGGGCCTGAAGCCAGAAGCATTCTAGGCAAACAGCCAGCGCTAGCACATTCCTTTTGAGGTATATTCATCATTGTGAGCCTTACTCTCTTGTAATCCCTTCTTCTCCAAGGAATGTAAATACAAACATTAATTCCCTTCTTGCTAATTATCCCAGCACTGGGGTAAACATTCCAAATGGCAGGGGAGTGGGGAAAAAGGAAAGCACAGTCACAGTCATATGATTTTCCACTTAGTGACCACATCACTTCGCGACCAAGTTGCTAGTCCCAAATGTGGTTGCTAAACAAGGACTGTATCTCTCCTTATGTTACCACTTCTTACACAACCCATTCCCACTGCATTCAATTTATTTTTATGTATCTCCTAATGTTTTTCTTTTTACTGTTCTTGACACTATTACCAAGCCAGATAACCTTTATCCTATACTTCAGTGTTTGTTACCTAAGTGAAGATTTTTGCATTTACCTCTATTACTGCAAAATTCTGCCCATTTTCCAACTATTTATTTGTTTTCTTTTATTATTTTATCTCTTCTTTTGTATCAGATTTTAGCTTTATTATTTAATTTCCTAATTTATAGTTGGTTTGAATTGTCTGAAGGGTATTTGCAAGTTCTATTTTTCAGTTTTGCTTTCTCATGAAAATTAAAATTATTATTAAAAAATCCTTAATTTTCATGCTATCTATTCTATACTTAACTATCATGCTGATGATATATCATGGAGTACTTTGTCAAATACTTTACAGAAGTCAAGTTACAGTATGACTATAGCATTCCCATGATCTATTAAATGATAAAAATCTATTGCATGATAAAATTGAAATAAATGTTTGTTCTTTACAAATCCATGCTGACTTCTTATACTTACTCCATTATTTTCAAGATGCTTGCAAGTTGTTCTCTATATGATCATCTTTAAAATATTACCAGGTATCAGTGTCAGATACCTTGTCTGCTGTTTGCTGGACCTTTTTTCCTCCTACTTTTGAAGATAGGGACAACATTTCCTCTCTTTTAGTCAGCTGCACTTCACTAGTTATCTAGGATTTCTCAAAAATAATACAGAAGAGTTTGAGCAGACCATCAGCTAGTTCTTTTAGTATGCTAGGATGAAAGTAACTTGGTTCTGGAGATTTAAACTCATTCATAGTAAAGACCATGCTTTTATGAGTCTCAGGCTTCAATCTTGCCCCTTCATCCTACCCTTCTTGTGGGAGAACACTGAACCAAAATATGAGTAGAGTAGCTATGCCTTTTCTTTGTTCCATGTTAGAATTTTGTCTTCTTCATTTAGCATCTACTACATTGATTTTCTTCTTTCATTCTGAATATATCCAAAGAAGCTGTTTCCGTTATTCTTAGCATACTTTTCTAACATCACCTTATTTGGAATTTTCCCTTTCAGTTCTACAGATCTAGTCTACTAGTATATATTCTTCTGTAACATGGCTCTCTTTCTATTTCCCATATGGGTCCTTTCTGTTTTTACTAAAATCTGAATGTGAAATCCCATTCATTTCTTTTGCTGTCCTCGGCCCCCTTCCCCCAGCCACTATTTCTTCTCCTTGGGGGAATAATTTGTAATTATGTTTTAGTATCTCTTTGTTTAGGAATTCCTACCTATCTTGAGCTCTTCTTCAGCCATGGAATCCTACTTATCATTCCTTTGAATTCATTAAAATCTGTTTTTTTCAAGTCTAACACTTCTGAAAGTGCTATTTCTGCTAGTTCCAATCTCTTAACTAAGCCTGCCTTGTTGATTAGCAGCAAATCAAGAGAAGCTTTTGTGACGTTTTCTACCCTTTGAAAGGGATTGTTGACAGTGAAAGGAACTTCTTGGAAGGACCACACTTGGTTGATTTTGTTTCCCAAAAGGTGTCTACTTCTATTAGTTATAGTAGTAGTAATTTTATATCAAATATACAGTACATAAAGTAAAGCATAATTTGAGTTAAACTGAACTGCTGATGATTTCATGTATAATCCAAGGAATTTTCTTGGCAAGAAATGGAAGTGGTTTGCTCTGTTTTCTTACTGGTCTCTTTTGAAGCAATAGCCTAAAAAATAGAATGTGACCCAAAGGATATAAAATGAGTTCTCAACAGTCTTCCACACCTTTCAGTGTGGCATTACCTAGTAGATCATTAAAATGTGGAAGGGAAAGAAAACTCATAACTCAGTTTCAGAATGAAATTTCTGAGATCTGAACCACCTTATAATTCTCAT